TTTCGTATTTGATCTTTTTTCTTTCTTTTTTTTTTTTTTTTGGGATTTTGCATCCTTTCCCCCGCTTCACATCCATGGCGATATTGAATTCCCATTTCAGCTTCCAGACTGAGGGCGGCCAGCCGGCACTGGCTCTGGGGGGCCACCCAAACTGGTACTCACGGGGAACAGGGATCTACAGCAGCATTTACCCTTCCGTTCCCCTTCCCACAGACCCATTTCTCGACGTTGTTTCATTTGTTTTCTCTCACCGGCATAATGGGATCTCAGCTCTCACTGATTATTCATCTGGGTGTTCAATATCTTACTCGAAGTTGCTGCTTTTAGTCCAACACATGGCCTCCGGTCTCCACCACATGGGTGTGTCTAAGGGCGACAATGTCCTGCTTTTATTGCCCAATTCAGTCTACTTTCCTATCGTGTTTCTTGGTGTTCTTTCTTTGGGTGCAATTGTTACCACCATGAATCCGCTTAGCAGTATGCCAGAAATCAAGAAGCGGATTCTTGATTGTGGCGTACGTTTATCTTTCACTGGGTTTGAAAAGGTTGAGAAATTAAAGATTCTGGGGATTTCTGCCATTGGGGTGCCGGAAACCATGAACTTTGATCAGACCCAAGTTCATTTTTCAACTTTTTATGATCTTATTTCTGGCAATTATGGTATGCCTCCTAAACCTGTAATCAGGCAGCAAGATACGGCGGTAATTATGTATTCATCGGGTACAACGGGCGTTAGCAAAGGGGTCGTCTTATCCCATGGAAATTTCATAGCAATGGTGGAGGTTTTCGTGCGGTTTGAGGCTTCACAGTATGAATATTCACCTTCAACAAACGTGTACTTAGCTGTTCTTCCAATGTTCCATATATATGGGCTTTCTCTTTTCGTGCTGGGATTGTTGTCCTTAGGATCTAGCATTGTTGTGATGAGGAAATTCGACCATGGTGAAGTGGTGAAAGCCATCGGTAGGTATAGAGTCACTCATTTTCCTGCTGTTCCACCAATACTTAGGGCACTGTCAGAGGAAGCGAAAGGTGTTGGAGAAAATGACTTAGAGAGTCTGAAACAGGTTTCTTGCGGTGCAGCTCCCTTGAGCAGGAAATACATAGATGAATTTCTTCAGGTTCTTCCTCATGTTGATTTGATTCAGGTATATTTTTCATGCTTAGCTTTGCATCTCTTCTTTCTTTTGCGAGCTGTATCTTGATTCTGCTACACTTATATGGAATTTAGTTGAACAAATTTATGGTCTTTATATGCTGGTCTCTTTGATTTTTAGAAATTCGACCTGTGAATTGTGTTTGTTTATAGGGTTATGGCCTGACTGAATCGACAGCAGTAGGAACTCGTGGCTTCAATACTGCAAAATTTCAGAAATATTCTTCGGTGGGACTTCTGGCACCAAACATGCAAGCTAAAGTGGTGGACTGGAATTCTGGATTTTGCATGCCTCCTGGTAGCTTTGGCGAGCTCTGGCTAAGAGGGCCGGGAATTATGCGAGGTGAAAAAATTTTTGTTTGTTCAAATGCTTGTATTTACCTGTATGGCCATGCTATTATTTCAACGATCTATTGAACAAGTTTGAAAATTGTGCTTTAGTGGTTTAGCTTGCACCATCAACATCTCATTGCCACCATATTTCTATTTTGTTAAAGGATAACCCCAAGTTTACTGATATATTCTTAGATGTTCATTGCTGATTAATTAGACTAGTTCACTATATGTTCTTCATTTTCCAGAATACTTCAAAAATCCAGAGGCAACGATGATGACAGTTGACAAAGATGGTTGGCTTCATACAGGTGACATTGTTTGTTTTGACAAAGATGGCTATATACACATATCTGATCGCATTAAGGAGGTCATAAAGTACAGGGGCTTTCAGGTGTGGTTTTATCTTTTTCACGTAATTTATTAGTTCATCAGAGATCACTAGCAAGTATTTGCATTCCTAGGAAAAGAGGAGTTTTTGTTTAGCATGGTGTATTATATGGTTGTGGATTAACGTTAGCTTGTTTGATATCATGTCTCTTTCTCCAGATTGCTCCGGCTGATTTAGAGGCTATACTGATTTCTCACCCTGAGATACTCGATGCTGCTGTAACAGCGTAAGCACGAGAATTTAATGCATTAAGAACTTTTTCTCCTAGGAATTGAACATGGTTTGGAGAGAACTGAACATTTTTCCTGTTAGTTCCTGGGTTTTTGTTTAAGAATCATTAGGCATATGTTTTTCTGAACATGATTCGCAAGGGAACTGGTTAGGGATCATGTGACAGTCGGATAAAAGATTCCTTGGTCCTGACATGCCAAATCTAAATATTACTGAAGCAAGGTTGCATGTCCCCATCCAGAAAAACAAACATGATCCCAGATCATACATGTCCTTTCTAGCAAAAAATTAAAAAAGAAAAAAAGAAAAAAAAAAAAAGATAATCCTTTTAATCTATTTGTGTTCTAACCTTGTTTGTCTGGTATTCAAGTGCCATTGATGAAGAACGCGGGGAGATCCCTATTGCATTTGTTGTGAGGCGGCCAGGCAGCCTGCTCTCGGAGGAAGCTGTCATCAACTATGTAGCCGAGCAGGTTTGGTGATTGATTCTAAACTTCCATGCTTACCCCATTAATGCTGTCTAACTACACACCTGTATCAATGGTGAAAACTGATTCTTCCTTTTGCGTAGGTTGCACCTTACAAGAAAGTAAGAAAGGTGATTTTTGCGCGCTACATACCAAAGTCTGCAGCTGGAAAGATCCTCAGAAGAGAACTCAGGAGCTTATTGAAGTCTAAACTTTAGAATTTGAATCTCTTTTATTTTCTCTTTATTTTGAAAATGAGTTGTTTTATATTTGGTTTTTATTTTATTTTATTATCCTTAATTTCTATACTAAACTAATGGGTTGTATACCAGATTAAAAATACATTTCTTATTTTTCAAATGAATAATAAAATTGGAATTCATACGGGTAATAATTGATTGAGATCCTATCTGCCATTTGCCTAAATAATGGAGTAGTGGTTATGGGCACAAAGATTTGTGTTAAAAGGTTACAAAATTTTAATAATATTTTATTTGTTTAATTATAAAATATAAGTGATAATTTATAAATAGTTAATATTTATTATTTAATAAATTAAAATTAATTTACAATAAAAAATAATGTACATAATTTACTGTAATAAATTATTTGATCTAACCATTAATTTTTTAAAATATTAATTAAAATAAATATTTAATATATTAAATATACTTTATATGTTTGAAGAGGTTAAAAAACTAAAACATTTATAATTACAACCAGCTTTAGTACTAATGTTTTATTCCATACAAAAAGAAAAAGACAAAATGACAAAGAGGGCAGACTCTCATCTTCATTTATTATGTCCATACACAATATTTTCCGAAAGTCCCATTAAAGCCTGTAGGAAACTTCCTCCACTTGTTTGCTTCTCAATGGCGACTGTTTTAGCCACTGCCCCAACTTTGTCATGCTCTCTTCCCATCCGAACTGTCTGTCATTGTCCCAGAATCCATGGAAGGGCAGCAACCCCAGTTGCATTAAATGGAGTCCCAGATCATATATACAGACAACCCATTGCTCGAAAAGGATTGGTACCCAGTAGAGTTCTGGGGACAAATTCCAAGTTCTTGCAAATGGGTTCTCAAGAATCCTGCTCCCAAAGAAGAATTGAAGTGAGATCCATGGGTGCAGAGAGTGGCAACACTTTGACTTCCACAGTCTCCACAAAAGTGAGTAACGAGAATGAGAAGTTATTGGGTTTTCCCATCTTGATCAAATGTTCTTAATTTCCTGTTCCTTAATTAGGTGTTTGGGATTTTGCACTTGATTGTTTCGCTTGGGATACTTCTTGCCATGGATAAGTACTTGGAGAAGGCTTTTGTGGCGGCTGCCATTAAGTTCCCCAGTGCCTTATTTGGGATGTTTTGTATATTTTCTGTTTTAATGATTCTTGATGCTACAATCCCATCTGCTGCAAATAGCTT